CCCTTTTAACAACCAACAAGATGTAGCTTCATACCAGACCCCCGGGAGGACCTAGAAAGTAGGGCCCCAAACTTGGTACCATACTACTATTGGATAACTGTTAGGAACCCTTGGAGGGATCTACTTTCTAGATCCTTTAGAGATCTAAGTGTTTTGAAATCTTGGCATCCTTCTTACGGCGGGGTTTCCTAAACCCTAAACCTTAATGCGCCAGATGATTACGCAGCGAAGCTTCGCTAATTCTAAGCTTGCTATCGTATTTGTTTGAACACTTTGCAGCTACTTCTTGAATTACTTCCGGGAGGTCCTAGAGTGTAGAGCATATAGCTACTCACAACCAAAAAGTTTCATGTTGTCCACGACCTGCATACCCGCTAAGTACTCTACCCCAAAATTCTATGAAGCCTTATCAGTCCGCAAAAGACTTTGCCCTCCGCCCTAAATCCAAAACCCTAATCCCAAACTTTATGCCTGCAACTCTATGCCCTGAATCCTAAACTCTATACGCAAAATCCTAAACTCTATGCCCCAAATCCTGAACTCTATGCACTAAATCCTAAACCCCAACCGCCCCATCCGGGTACTTCGTAGCTAAGGCGCTCTGCTGCCAGCGTCCGGGTCTTCGGGCCGCCAGAGCTTGCAGGACCCTTGAAGAGGGCAAAAGGGATATCTAATATTTAGGTTCCTTTAAAGGGGCTATATAGGGTTTAGGATTTAGGTTTAGGGTTTAGGATTTTGGGTTTAGGGTTTAGGATTTAGGGTTTAGGGTCCATGTACCCAGTAGCTGTACTGTCCCTAGGAATTTTTTGATTTGTTTTTTTTTATAGTAAAACCTTAAGGAAACATTCTAAAAATGTAGGTCTAAGGAGACTACAGGTAATTAGGTACTTGGATCTTGGGCTTTAGTAATTTTAGTATAGGTTTTGGGAAGGTATATGATTATTGGGTACTTGGACCCTTAGGGTAAGTATCTAGGAAGCTATAGGGTTGAGGGTTCAAGGGTTTAGGGCTTCTAGGAATCTATGGGGTTTAGGGTTCGAGGGTTTCGGGCTTCCAGGAATCTTGAGGATTTGGAGTTGAGAGAGGGAGGGTGTGAGAGAGAGAGAGAGACAGAGAGAGAGAAGATCTTGCACCCCTAAACCCTAAAAGCCTAAACCCTACAACCCTAAACCCTAAAGGGACGCCAGGCAGATGTTGAAACGCGTGTTTCCGATATCTAGGTAGGAAAAGCCCAAGTTACAAGCGGGCAAGATCCCAAAGTCCTGGTACTTGTAGATAGTACAAGTCTTTCGTATTTTGCGTAGCTAGATTGCTGTTGCTTTGGGCTTGGGGATCCTAAAGTCCCCAAAGATATTGTATATACTACTGCAATAAGGTCTTGTACAGGATATGTGTTGCCAAGTCCAGATCAGCATGGCAGCTGACGAAAAACAGTTTTGTTGGTTTGGGTTGGCAGATTTTGGTTTCAGGGCTTTAGGGCCGAGCTTTTGTAGCCATGCTTCTTCCAGATTGTAGATTTCAGGCATGGTAATGTATGACTTTCAAAAAAATGTTCTTTTGGGTTGTCGGCATGGTCTTCGGCGCGTGCTTTAGAAATGCCAGAGGGTGTCTTAGAAACCCTAAACCCTATCAGTGGCACTCTGGAGTAATGATGCTGGGCCATTGTTTGGGGAGTCGTATGGTCATGCAGAGTTTACTGTGGTTGAAAGAGCTGTGTGGTGCTGAACATCATATTGTAGGAGGAAATTGTAGGATTTCTGCAAGGTCTGTGGGAGCCTGCGTGGTGGCTCTCCGAATGCCCTCAGCCTGACACCCCAAACCCTACTACCTGATTAGCCGTAGGCGTAGTACCATCGACCCTAAACCCAAGTAATCCCAAGTACAAGCAGCTACTATGGTAAGTCCCGCAATCAAGCATAGCTCAGGAGAGCTCTACCACGCCTCGAGGGGCCAGCGGTGAAGCTGTCTTTGCGCTGTGATGCGTTTTGAATAGCAAAGGGGCCATGGTTACCCCAATCCCTAAAAAGTAGGACCAGACGATGATCATATCATAGGCGTAGTGTCCTTATTCTAGGGGTCGGGGGTTCTACAGCCTGCTTGCAATTGGCCTGAGCAGTGGGTGAAAGCGGGGCATTCCGTGGCAACGTGCATTTATACCGATAGATTCAGATTGATGGGGCCTGTTCTGTTCAAGCGCCTCTTCACCTAAAACTCTGGCAGTCTACAAGCGCACGTGCTGCATGGTGCGTTGGTCAAGGGGCATGGACCGCTGATGCCATGTGCCCGCTTCATCTAGAGTAAGCTCATGCAAGCAATGTCTGGTGCATTTGGGCATTTTCATCCCGATCCCACGTTTCACGTCGACTGGCTGCTTATGCGCTATGATTATCGTTGGCCAGGCTTTCGTACCATTAGGTAGAAATTGAGCCATGTTATTCTTGCTGTTATTATTGCTGTATCTTGCTTACCGCCATTCGTACTCCTAGTATGTCATCTTGGGATTTCACTTCAACGCCTAGGTGGTCGCTGGTCCAGCTTCGTTCCCAGGGCCTAGGACCCTAAATCTTCCCGTATGGGGACTGAGCGAAATGAATGTTACCTTTCAGAGGGTCTCTAGATAATAGAGACTGTAATATGTTGGGGTCGATGTTGGGATTCCCCGGTTTCAGGAGGCTACCCTTTGCTCGAAGCCTTGGGATCTTTATAATGGAGTTCCATTATGTATTAAGCCTTAGTTTGCATATTGTAGTTGTATTTATCCCAGCTATATTGTAGCCAACTGTAGCTGAGAGGTTAATCTAGTTAGGCTACGGTTACATCCAGGAATAACTTGCTTCTACATGCCATGGACCTTCAATCAGCTTTGGTTGTGCTTCGTCTCCCCTGTTGAGTGGCAAGAGCTTTGTGTTCCTGATCTCGGGTCTTAGCCGGTTTTTATCCACCCCCAAAAACATGGAAGCTGGGATGTGCGCCTTCAACGAGGCAGTAGTCTTTATCTGGGCCTGCGTTTTTTCCTGCCGTTGCAGCACGTTCGCGGCTATGTTTCTGAGTGTGTGCAACTGGCAGAGAGCCGCTTGCGGCTTCCTACAGCCGCACCAGTCGCCTCATTCAATAGTCAGGGAAACCCTCGTCTACCGCAATACAGTCTAGCCCTGATTTGAAGTACCCACCCGAAAATGAACCCTTAACCGCTTTAACCTAATTTATGGAAGCATCCATGTGGATAACCGCCTGAATGATTAACACGATTTGCGTTCAGCACCAGGTGCCCCAAAAATGGAGAGATGATTCCAACACTGGTCAGGCCTTTCTAATATGTGCTTTGAATCTCCCTCCTGTTCGGCTTCCTATTGGAGGTTTGATGGAGATTGATGGCAGGCCAATGTGATGTTGGTTGATAAAAAGGTGAGAAGATTAACATGAGAACTTGCTTGGCAGATGTGACCAGGTGTCAGACGTTTCCAAGACTGACTCGCAAGCTGACTTTTTTTTTATCAGCGTGTTCATACCCCATCTAAGCCTTGCAAGTTAGCTTGACATATGTGGGTGGTTGTCAAAATTATGGTCCCTTTTTTGGGTACCCTAAATACTAGGTGCCTTATTATAATAGGGATCCAAACAGGGACCATAATTTGGACAACCACCTGTGTCCATACTTGGGAAGTGGAGCCTTTCGCTAGCGGCCTCCATCGATGCCTGGCACCACATATGCCCTTTCCGGGAACCCTACACCGTGTCGGCTGTCTCCTTGCATGAGCAAGGACCTGCTACCAAGAAACTTTCTACAGCTTCCTGGGTCCCTTCTGAGAATATCTCTTATTCAGCATATTCAGCTGCGCTATCTGTACGCAATCTGTAATTATAGCTAGTTGACCGGAGTCTATAGCTGAACCGAGACTTCCGCGCTTTGCAGTTTGGCAAAATTCCTGGTGGTGTATATGCTTCAATGGCGAGAGAGAAAACTAGACGGCAAACGGAGACCCGAACCACCAGATTTGTAAGGTCGTGCGGCTGGGATACAAACTCCATCCGTGGTATTGAGTAACTTGTACCTATTCTTCTCACCCAGTCATAACCTAGTCAACTAAACTGGAGTCCTAACAGCAGCTCTCAGCATCTTGGCTTGCGGCCCCTGTCTGCCGGCGCAGCCCAAGCTTGGAGATTGCTATACTTTGTGAGCTCGCATGTGGGAGCATTTAATTCATCCCTTCCCCCATAAACTAGACATCCTAAAATTAGATACCCCTCAGCGGTGGGAATCTACATATATTTAAGCTAGGACATGAATACTGTATACTATTTCCACGAAGCCTGCTTGAACAAACAGAGGCGTTGAAAGCTTTTCAAGCTTTTGCATGACACACAAAACTGAACAACTGGAGCGGGAAAGAAGTTGTACTACAATATCTTGTGACGATTGTACCCTAAACCTTTTTTACACGTGAACACTAAACCCCAAACAACATGAGTCGGACTCTTCGAACATGTGCATTAACCCTACAGGCCTTAAACCGCGCGGCTGTAGCATCGGGCCCTGTCAAAATCCATAGGCTGTTTCTTGTTGTTTGCCTTATTTACCAGGAGGGTTTATGACAAGCTCTAAGCCCCATAACTCCTAGTGGCTGACTAGAAAGATTTGGCAGTTTTGGGGAACCCCAATATAGACCCCAAAAATACTATAATCCTTATTATGGGGACCCCCAAAATGGTACTCCTAATTTTGGGACACCCCATTTGTGACAATTCAGTTAGCCCGCGGGGCTGCCAAGTTGCATTGCTCCGTGCCGAACTTTCACGTAACAGTTCAGGGTTGCAGAGGTTGAGTCAAGGATAAGAAAGCAAGAAGCATGTCTCGGCAGTGTCCCAGCCATATCAATATATTCCCCCTTTAAGTAGATGGAATATGGGGTATTTTGGGGGTCTTATTAAGATATCTCCAAAGCCATATTCTATCTACTTAAGGGAGTGAGTTTTCATAGCTGCACTTGAGAGCATCTTTGATGCAGCGCTTGAGCCTCAAAACAGCTAGCACTTCCAAGTTTGGTAGCGGAGCACTTCGGTGCTTTCGTAATTCCAGGCCTAGTTGGCTGCCTAGGGCCCATACGCTCTGCACGGCTGCGCCGTGCTCTTTCACTTTTGACACCACGATTCTTGACTTTGTCTACGACACACTGAGGTGGTTTGCTGCCAACAAGGACATCCAACTGTCCGACCACCTCCGAGATTTGAAAAGAGCAGCTGCCCAAGGTGATCTTCGGCAGCCGGCTCCTGACAAGAAGCAAGGCCTGAGTGCAGGCAACATTTTTCAAGCAACCATTGCGGCAATCCTTCTCTTCATCTTTGCGGGCAGCCTCCTCCAGCAAGGAAGCCAGAGTTTATTCTTCGAGAGTGGCGCTGCCGCGGCGAGCGACAAGGAGATCTACGGCCCGGACGTCTTTCCCCTCGCGAAGCTGAGTGGCGAGACCTTCGGCCCGGAAGACTCTGTCCTCTACGGCCAGATCGACTTGGTCGAGGACTCCCAGGAACTCCTTGATTACACGATTCTCCGCGCCAACAACGTTACGGACAAGGCTGACTTCCAGGACGGTATCTTCGGCAAGTTCTCCTTGGATTTGTTCTACGTCGACGTCCTAGATTGCTCAAATCCCTTTGTTCGAGAGATGGCTTCTGCCTCGCCCAATCCGAGCAATACAGGCATTCCTTTGCAAGAGTTTCGACGCGATTGCCCTCCAGGATGGGCACCCAACATGCCTGACTACCCCTTGCGGCTCTTCTTCGATAAGTTGAAGCTTTGGTACCAGATTTTCGATGGTGCAGATGAGCTTGTGGGTCCCTTGGTGGCTGGAAGATTGCAGGGCAAGGCACAAAGGCTAGCTCTTCAGCTTCGTCTTCCCAGACCAGACGGAGGCATCGACATTGGCTCCAATGCCCTAGTCCGTCTATCCGTTGACGAGGTGAGAGACCCAGTCAACCCATCTGTGATCCTGCAATCGGCAATACCATCTGGGGTCCAAGCTTTATGCAACTCGTTGAGGGATGCATTCGGCTACAGTGATCAAGAATTGGTATCTCGATCCATAGAAGAGTTCATGGAATTCCGCAGGGGTCGCATGGCATTCTCGGAGTTCAGCATTGAGTTTGATATGCGTCTTGAGGAAGCGACCACTCGGGCTGGCTTTGAGATCAATGACGTGGCAAAGTTTTACCTCTTCTTCAAGGCGGCCCAGCTTCCAACCAAGCTCGTGGACGACGTCAAGCTTCAGATTCAAGGTGACCTTCGACGCTTCCAGGAGGCCAGGTCACTTGCTCTTCGCCTGGTTCATCGAGCCCAGGAAAACCATGAGGCCTACTTTATGGGCGATGACGATGACGACGAGTGGGATGACATCTGGGACGACGGCTGGTTTGGCGACTCCTACTGGCAGGAAGACTGGGATCCCTGGTACGAGGACTTCTATGGCGAGGAGTCCGAAGAATGGAATCAACCTTCCTGGCATGGTGAGGAATACTATGGCGAGGAGGGGCTATGGCAAGAAGGGCTCTGGCTACGGTGGTGGCAGCTACTTCGGCTTCAGTGACAAGAAGTTGAATGATAGCTTCCATGGGCCTCCTGCCCGCTCGTCGCCGCTGAAGGAGAAGCATGTTCGCTTTGAGGAAGATGATCGAAATCCCATCTTCCAACTTGGCAAGCCCAAGTCATCGGCCAACAATGACTCGACTGAACCTGAGGAAGACTTGCCTCAAGACGAGCCACACTCTGCGACTGCCAACGTGGAGAAACGCCTGGACTTCTCCTTTGCCGTGGGCATCTTTTCTTCCTTGGAGAACTACCACACCGTCAAGGGCGACAAGCGGCGCGGACTACTTGTTGACCCAGGAGCCGCTTCTGGACTTGTTGGTTCCGAGACCTTGCGAGATCTTCTGAGTGTTCTTCCGGAGGACCGACAACGAGAAGTCACCTGGAACTACCAGAAGCATCACAGTGTGAGTGGCATTTCAGGTACACCGGAGAATACCATGGGTGAGGTTACCATCCCTTTGACTTTGTCTGGTGCCAGCGGCGCCTATCGTGCGGATGTGCTGGGCGGCGATGGATCACTATGTCCGGCGCTTCTGGGCAATCCTGCTCTCCGGCGGCAACGGGCAGCGATACTGACCGACTACTTCGAGAATGGCGATGGCGTCCTGGTGGTCCAGAAGTCTGATCAAGAACGGCATTATCTTCGCATTCTCCTCACGGACTCCGGTCACTACTTGCTGCCAGTGGATGAACACTGTGACGTTTCCGAGAAAGACGCCATTGGTGTCAGCACGCGGCTGGGCATGTTTGCTTCGGCCATTCGAGAGCGCTGGAAGGATGTCCGGCATTGCTTCCTGAGTCAGGCGTCTTCCTCGGCAACTCCGGAACATGAGCGGAATGGAAAGGCATTTCATGACACTTTGGAAGGAACCTCAGACACGAGTCCTCCTACCTTCTCTACGACTACTTCGCAAGCTCAAGCAAGGAAGCCAAGCAAGGACAAGGTGACTTTATGCACAACCAATGAGGAACCATCAACCACGCCTAGCGAAACCACATGCACCACCAATGAGGAACCATTAACAACGCCTAGCGAAACCACATGCACCACCAAAGAGGAGTCAACAGCTACAGCAAGTGACTCACCATTCACAACCATTTGTGCGGCAAAGTCAACGTCCCCACTTGATCGTTGTCTACAAGGTCGCCGGTTGGTGCTAGATGTTAAGACCTCAGGCACGAGTTCAGCTACCTTCTCCACGACTACTTCGGGGCACCAGCCAGATTGTATCAGTGGCGACAGACCATTTTTCGAAGACCCATGTGCAGATGTCAGACGAGCGAAAAGTGACTCATGGACCATTGAGGAGCACTACCTTGTGCGGCATCATAGTCTTCCACGACGTGTTCTCTTCACTCCAAATGGTGCATTGAATTGTCCAGTGGACACGAACCTCCTGACCGGCGAGAGGACAACCATCATGAAACCAATTCCACGGAGATCCGAGAGGGTGCTTGAGGACAACTGGCTGCATGCATCAGCTCCTAATCGAGACCTGGGGCATCTCTGGACAGGTTCTACGAAGTTCCGACTGCGGACTCCCGGGAAACCTCTTCCACCACAAGAGCTGGCAACGACAACTCCGGACGGCGATGATGCGGACCTCTTTCCCTACTACACTGGGGATCAGTTTCCTGACCATTGGCCCGAAGATCGCGCCAAGAAGGCCAAGCAGTATTACAAATCGATGCCAGAAGAGTTCTACAGCCAGTCTGGTCGTCGGCCGATCACTCCATACAACTTTGCTGCCTGGATGAAGAAAACTCGTGGTCGTGGTTTGCGACTGCAGTTCCAAGAATTCTGTTCGGGCAGCGGGCGACTTTCGTTGCTGTTGCTGGCGGCCGGTCTTGCGGTGGCCTTTCCGGTGGATTATCGCTATGGCTGGGATCTCTCTCTCCCTCGGCATCAGGCCATGATACACGAGTGCTGTCAGGAGTTCCAGACGGCCCATCTGTTCGGTGCACCTTCGTGTGGTCCTTGGTCTTCCTCATCGAGTACAAAGGATCCAAAGGTTCGTGATTTAGATCGTCGGAATGAGCTGCCTACATTGTCGTTTCTTCATGACACGTTCTTGTGGCAACACAATGAAGGCCGTGGATTCACATTGGAGCAGCCTTGGGGCTCTGCTATGTTCACTGATAGTCCGGTTGCCAACCTCTTCGACCACGAGGGCATCTTCAAGCAAAGGCTGGATCAATGCATGCTTGGGGCACAGGATGAACTCCAACATCCAGTGCGCAAGGCCACCGGCTTCCTGAGTAATCGCCGCTGGCGCTCCGTCCTGAAACGATGTGGCGGCCACAAAGGCAAGGCTCATGGCATCTTGCAGGGCCAGATCAATGGCATCAATCGGACAGCACTTGCCGCCGTTTATCCTCGACGCCTCTGCAAAATTCTTGCTCAGGATCTTTGGCGCATTCTCCGACAAGAGGGCCTACAACGTTGTCCGGTGTGGCCACGCAGTTTGTTTTGGATGCATGGGCTGTACTACGCCTGTGAACGCTGTCAGCTTGGACGCTCATGCCCTCCGGGTGTGGAGCATACCTTTGTTCCTGGCGAGTGTCGCTATGGTCAACCTCATCGCCAACCAGCAGCAGCTCGTCCTGGTGATGGTCAAGCAAGCCGTGCAGCGCCCGGCGATCTGGAGGATCCCACTGGGCCCTTCAAGTTTCTGGCTCGCAGCGGCGACTTCTCGTCTGTTGCTTTGGACGTGCACGCGTCTTTTGACCTTCTTCCGGAGTCTCGCCTCTACCTGAAGGCCGCGTTGATGCAGCTCTTGGAGGCTGGCTTGGGCATCTTCTCCGAGGCGACTGCCGCTGACTACGACCACTGGGTGGACGACCTTGTCTTGCTGCGGGTCATCCAGGATGTGTTTGCTCCTCACTTCCGGGTGCTGGCTATCATGATATCTCTTCGTCCTTGGTGCCGTAAAGTGCCTGACCCAGAACTTACGTCGGCTTGTGCGCCTCTTCGTCTACTCATCGAGGGCGATGTACGTCATTGGCGCGTCCACGCTCTGGAAGACATGCGGCTGATGTCTCATCAGCAGCTGCATGCGCCTGTGGAGGAAGCAGATTGGCACGTGCATCTCTTCGGGCACGCGCACGGGGATGCTGCTGTTGACCGTGTTGGTGGTGCTACTTCTGCAGCCTCACGCCCGGCGGCTCCCTTTGTTCCGGCCGAAAGAGAAAATGGTGGGGAGGTAGCATCTTCTTCATCGCACGTGCCTCCTCCAGTTCGCAATTCAGCTCCTACTGGCGAAGCACGAGCAATGGCCAAGGCCAAAGCCACGGCTACACCATCTCCGGCAGCAAAAGTGGCTCCTGTTCCACCTCGTGAAGCACAACCTGAACAAGCAGAAATCGCTGGCGAAGAGGAGTTTCAAGCAGTTCGACCGGAACAAGAGGATCGTCCAAAGACCTTGAAGCCCCTCTATGACTTCAAGAAAGTTTTCGAAAAGCTGCGAGGTGACATCCCGACTTCGGATCCTGTGTTGGCAAAGCGGCTGCTACTGGGCCTCCACGAGCGCTTCTACCACGCGCCGATCAGTGATTTCCGAAACATGCTCATCAGGGCAGGCTTGGGAGGAGAAGTCCTGAAGTTGGCAGAAGAAGCCATTATGAACTGCTCGATCTGTCGAAAGCATGTGCGACTTCCTCCCCGACCACAAGTGAAGATAGGTTCCCAGGCCTCATGCTTCAACAGCAGAGTTCAATGTGATCTCTTCCAGTACAAGGAGACCTGGATCCTCTTGATGGTGGATGAAGCGACCCGGTACAAGTCAGCAATGGCTGTGAGTTCTCGTGAGCACAATGATATTCTCCAGCCAATGCTGAAATGGTGGTTCACGATTTATGGCCCTCCTGCACAATTGGTTCTTGACCAAGAGTCCTCTCTTATGGGCCATCAAGCAGGAAAAGAATTGGAGCGCTTTGGGGTCGAGAGAGTTCCGAAGGGCACAACTTCCGGACCGGCGGCGGCCCAACACACCGGGACAGGACTTGTGGAAAGGCATATTGGACTCGTCGAAATTACTATGGCGAAGTTAGAGGCAGAGCTTGACAGGCAGGGCGTCGCGATAGAGATCGACGATCTATGCCGGGAGGCGGCCACCGCGCAAAACTCCTCCTTAAACTATGGGGGAGCCACCCCTTCGATGGCTGTCTTCGGAGTTCTCCCTCGGCCGTATTTTCAGGACGACACGGACAACATCACCGCCATCACAGGTGCCTTACAAACGGATGTAACACCTTTCGAACGAGCCATTCGAGTTCGACAACTTGCTCTCTCTATGGTTCACCAAGCAATTGCTGAGGACCGGGTCGCCAGGGCCAACAAAACCAGGCCACAACAACTCCGGCTTGGAGAGCTGAAGCCTGGAGTGAGCCTAGTTGACTACTATTGTGAGATACAAGGCGATGTGGGCTGGCGCGGTCCTGCTGAGCTTCTGCGTCTGAGCCAGACCGAGGGTACGGCTATCATCTCATACCAAGGCCGACCGTACTTGGTGTCTCTTCGACATATTCGGCCTCATGCAGCCGGCGTCTTCGTGACCCTCAGCCAGAACCAGAACGAGGCGTTCCAGTGGTTCAAGCAGCTGGTGGAGAAGCTCTCCCCGTACAAGGCCGTGACCATTGGGTGGGTTCCTGAGACCAAGGATGGCTGTACCTCCTGGAGAAGAGCGTCCACCTCTTCCCTGTCCTACGACGAGGCTTGGACGAATCTGGTGGCGCTCTCCAAGGCCATCTCCAACAGAAACGTCGGCGGCATGATCATGGGTCAGGGCCTTCGCACGATCCATCCTCCGCGTGGCACGGTGGGAGTTCTTTTGCTGTGGAAATCAAGGACCGACGAGTACACCTGCCACGAGCACAACAACGATGAGCCTATCACGATGAAGAAGGTGACGACTACTCCTGTCGACGAAGTGGCTTTCCTCTACATGTACTTCGTGGTCACCATGGCCTATGATCCGGAACCGCCGCTGAAGGTGATTCCTTCCGAAGGTGCCATAGATCACGGCGGGCCCATGGACATGGATCATCATCAACCGTGCTCAGCCATCAAGGGCGATGAGAACACTCCCATGGAGTTGAGTTGGACTTGAAGCGCAAGGGTCCTGACACGCGCACCGTGGTGCTTGGCCCGGCATCCAAACGAGAACGTCTCGATGAGTTCCTTTGGATGCTGTCCTCGGAAAAGGTGACCACGCGCTCCCAGCACAACATGATCAACTTCTACTGGCACATGAGGCAGACCCAAACCGTGAAATGGGAGTTTCCCCTCGCCTGGTACCTCAGCGACAACCACCACGGAACCTCGCAATGGGATGAGCTGTCATGGCGAAGCTCGATGCAATCAGAAAACCTGCGCGTGGTGAGTACTTGTTTTCGTGGCCTGGCAAGACCTTCGAAGACCTTTTTGCGTCGCTGATGGATGGCCAGATCTACAAAGTGGACAGCGAAACCGATAACATCCCAGAGCACGAGGTGTATGACATATGGCCGCAGGTAGACAAGGCGGACGAGGATGAAATCAAGCAATTTGTGGATACCGGCAGCTTCAAGAAGGTCCACATCGACTCTGTCACCAGTGACACCGTGGTGATCGATAGTGTGCGGATCAGAAAGTGGAAACGCGACCCTGACGGAAGCCGTAGGGTGAAGTCTCGACTCTGTGCACGCGGCTGCTTCGACAACCAGCGCGACACGCTGTCAACCAGGTCGACCACGGCAACGAGGTTGAGTCAAAGGATTCTAATCTCCACCGCGGTGAACCACGATCACGATGCCGAGAGCTGGGATGTCTCGGGGGCATTCCTAAAAGGGTTGACTTTTGAGAAGGTCAGAGAACTGCTTGCCTCTCGCGGCATTTCGTCTCCTGTCAGGAAGGTGGTCATCATCGCGCCTGCGAACGTGTGGCGACACCTGGCCAAGTTTGACGCTTCCTTCAAGGTGGACTTCGACCGTCTGGGAGATTGGGCTCTGCTGTGCATCAAACCAGTTTATGGGCTGAATGATGCCCCCTTGGCCTGGCAACTTTGTCTGCATGGTCATTGGGAAGAACAAGGCGGAGTACCTTCGCTTCTGGATGAGAACTATTTCATTTGGAAGCTTCCCAAGAACGAGACAGCTTCGGTCACGACACACGTTGACGACTGCGGCGCTGAAGGATCCCGTCAGTGGCTGGACCAGCAGTACAAGCTTTTGGTCAAGAAGTTCGGAAAGGTTACTCGTCAGACTTTGCCATTCACTCACTGTGGGGTCGTCTACAAGAAGATCCCCGATGGCATCTGCATGACGCAGGATGACTTTTGCCGCAAGCTGAAGCCTGTTGAGATCGCCAAGAACAAGAAGGACGAGGAAGCCCTTACTCCGGGCGAGCTGACTTCCTTCAGATCCATCTTGGGCGGACTTTTGTGGCTCACTGCCACGCGCCTCGACCTCGTCTCGGACGTCTGTGCTCTCCAGTCTCAGGTGACAAAGGCTACGATTGCGCATCTACGCCAGGCGAACAATGTGGTGAAGAAGGCGCAGGCAGAGCTTGGCCAAAACCTTGGCTTGTACTTCAGAAAGCTTCTTCCTCCCCTTCGCCTGGCTTGCGTTCACGACAGCAGTGCAGCAGGAAACGTCAGGAACTACGCTCAAGAAGGAGTGATGGTTCTCCTCACTGAGGATCGTTTGTCCGGGTTCGAAGGCAGCTACGAGCACGTGTTGCAGGACAACCAGACTTGTCGTCTTGGTGGACGCTGTCACGTTCTTTGGGCTCACGGAGCAAAAGCAAAGCGCATATCCTACAGCACTTCCCATGCTGAGACTTTGTCAGCAGTGTCAGGCATGGAAGCAGCAACACTGGTTGCAGTGAGGTTGGCTGAGCTCCTTTACTCTCCGAAGAAGCCGACCATACAGTCCTTGTTGCAACTGCAGGAAGGTGGCGTGCCTGAGCTACCTGTGGACGGGTATACAGACTGCAAAGACCTGTTTGAACTGATGTCCGGGGACAAGTCTATCCCACAGGACAAAGGTCAACGATTGTATATCCTTTCCCTTCGTGAGGCACGCCTGAATGGGAGGCAGCGCTGGCTCATACTCACACCTACAGGGAGTATGCTGGCAGACGCGCTTACTAAGTCGATGCTGGCTCCACAGCTCATGCGAGCTCTTAGCTCTGGCATGGTTGACTACTGCAACGAGGGTGACCATCGTATGACGCTACGTCGTGTTCCCAAGGTTGACTCCGTCAAGGACGAGCACCTCGACATGACGGACAAGGAGCTGATCAGCTCCCTACGTGCGTCCTCGTCGGCAACAGCTGTTTGCATGTTTATGTCAAGGTCCTGGTGCTTCTGGATGGTGACCGCTGCTGTGGCGACATCGGCATCTGCGACGAGCACTACGTCTACCTCCTCGGCGAGCTCTTCGGTTTCCTCTGCACCGCCTACTGCGAGTTCTGACGATGGCTGGCTATGGCTCATATGCCTTTCTTGTTTCATCATTGCCGCAGAGCATGGAATTCTCAAGTTCTTGCGTGTGCTTTGGCAGTGGTTTCGTCGTGTTTCAGTGATAGAGCCTGACGCAGAGCCGCCAGCGACTGTGACACTCAACGAGGACCTTGTTGAAGTTCAGCTTCGTGAATTGCGTGAGGCTAAGCTTGAGCGAGACCGCTGTGTACAGATGTACGATATGCAGTTTGAGCGAGCCTCCCGCTTGCAACGCGAGCTAGATGAGCACCTAGCGATTTGTCCTCTTGGAAGGAATGTGTATGTAACCAACTCTGGCCGTGCCTGGCATACCGATACCAACTGCTACCACATTCGACGCTACCAGCATAAGACTTATCGGTTTTGCCAGGACTGTGCTGGACGCTAGTTTCAACTCCGGAACAAGAGCGGAGTGAGTTTTCATAGCTGCACTTGAGAGCATCTTTGATGCAGCGCTTGAGCCTCAAAACAGCTAGCACTTCCAAGTAGGGGGACTATATCTATGCAATCCGCCTCTAAGCAGTATTTCAGGTAAAACCTGGAGAACGAGAATTTGTTGCCATAGTATCTCTTGTCTGAAGTGTACAAGGAGTATCACGGACAAGGTTCATAATATCCAGCTTCCTAAACCCTAAAACCCTAAACCCTGAAACCCTAAACCCTAATAGAGCCAAAGCCCGACCCGCACAGAAATCCCTCACACCTGCTTCGGAATCCCCGACAGCGCCAGGCAAATGAACCGGGCTTAGGGCTTAGGATTTAAGGTGATTTAGGGTTTAGGGCTTAGGGTTTAGGGCTTAAGGCTGAGGATTTAGGGCTTAGGGTTTAGGACTTATATAGGGTTTAGGGTTATTTAGGGTCTAACTTCATTCTAAAGACTTTCTTACAGGGAGCGTAGTAGGGAATAAGGGAATAGAATCCCTATGTAATCCCCGTGTAGCATATTCCCTTATATTCCCTACCAACCCCCACTAAACTGGCGCAGATTAAGATCCTTGACCCATTGCTCCCTGCATGCTTGAGCTCCATCTGCCAATAGTCCCAGAACGGCCCGAGTGTCCAAGCAGTGCCCACGGCAGGGATGTTTAGGGTTTAAGGGTTGAGGGTTTAGGGTTTTAAGGATTCAGGGTAGTTTAGAGTTCAAGGTTTAGGGTTCAGGGTTTAGGGCTCAGGGCTCAGGGTTTAGGGTTTACTTTTCAGGGTATATATAGGGTTTAGGGTGCCAAAAAAATGCTGCTGTTGTATTTCCTGCAACAGCAGGACTGCCTGGTGTAAGGACCCTCCCCTTGCAAAACAACGCGGATTCAAGGTATGGCCTTAAACTCTTAACCCTAAACCCTAAACCCTAAACCTATACTTGGACACCTTGACCTTATGGGGGCCAAAGGTGTAGCACTTCCAAAGTGCAGTGCACCCAACTCCGGCCACGGAAGCAACTGGCATGGAGCTTCAAAAGGGGTTCAGAGTTTAGGGTTTGTAGGGATTAGAGTTTATAATTTATAGGGTTTAGAGTTTAGGGTTGAGGGAGTTTAAGGTTTAGGGTTGATGGGGTTTAGGGTTTAGGGTCCTGGACTTGCGTGGTTCCCGACTTCATTGGAAGGCTGCCTGGGAATAAGGGCTACGGTCTTGGGGTTTCCATGTTTCGGTGGCGCCTGAACCTGTGAGATAGACACATGACAGCTTGAAGCCTCGTGAAGCCTCGGTGCAATGGTGGTTGCCCAACAAACGGGATCCCAATATAGACCCCAACATTTTGTAATCCGATTTTTTGGGACCCCCAAAATAAGGTACATGTCATTTTTGGAAACTCCCAATAGTGAATAGTGGTGGAAGGTTGCGTGACCAATCTCTGTGCTTTCAGGTCTTACACCGAGGGAATATAGAAATTTAGGAAGGGATAGCACCGTCGGCAAGTTGGAACCCTCCCATTCTGATACTGTGGATGGGTGAAGGTCTTAAAGTATAGTGCAGATTTTATGGTACTTTCCCAAACTAGGGGGACCCTGGTATAGACGCCAAAATACTATTCCTCATGACGCGGATTCCCAGGAGCGGTACTTGTAATTGTGGGAACCCCCTATGTGGTGCAAGATTTCTTCTTCTAGCAGCCGTCCGGGTCTTCTTTCGGTCAGGCGTGGCTGTGGCTTGACACAATAGACCTTTACTAACCGTTACAAACCCAACAAAGGGCTTCTGCTCTGTTCGACAGGATGATATCAAGGTTTCGAAGGACGCCAGGTCAATTTCTTGGTGATGCTGAGTCGTATCTCATTCAGATCCCTACGGGTCCAAGTACCCAACAGTCATATACTTACCCAAAACCTGTACTAGAACTCCTCTTACCCCAAGCCCAAGTACCTAATTATTGGGTACTTGGACCCTTCGGGGAACATGCACGCCAAGCACTCTGCTGAGGCTGCATTCCTCCTTTGCGCATGCCGTCCGGATCAAGTCTGCAGGGAGCTTGGACGGGCGTTGAAGCCATCAGTGCCTTGGAGGGCTGAAAAATGCCTACGCTGAAGATGTAGCTATATGGTATATGCTTGCGCCCCAAGGTAGATGTATGGGAATCCCTCTGCCCCAAGTATATGCGACATTGCTACATGGGCCCTTTGGGCTTGTGCTTT